AAAACCCTTAAAGATTAGGCAATAAACCATAAATCAATGGCAAAACCGTGTCCAACACATAACACGAACTTCATAAGGGGTTGAAGACTATAACCCACAAATCTTTAAACCATACAAAAGATCCTCTCCCTAGAAAATTCTTACTGTTCGGTTAAAGATAAATTCTCCATGGGTTAAAGATTCCTAATGTTTACTATAGGTGGATCTCAAATTGGGCGGATTTTTCTATGAATTGAAGATCATCTCCCGCTAATCTTCATACTCTACAAAAAGTCCATTCAATAAGAGATCAACCTCAGGGTTACGTTAAAAATCTTTAAGACAAGGAAATTTTGAATCTCTCCAAAACGTATGGATTATGTAAAAAGAATTGAAGCAAAAACTCTAGAAAAATCACTCAATTAGATAAAAAAAACCCTTAAAGATTAGGCAATAAACCATAAATCAATGGCAAAACCGTGTCCAACACAATAACACAAACTTCATAAGAGGTTGAAGACTATAACCCACAAATCTTTAAACCCTATAAAAGATCCACTTCCTAGGAAATTCATACTATTCGGTTAAAGACAAATTTTCCATGGGTTAAATAATCCTAATGTAACCTGTAGGTGGATCTCAAATTGGGTAGATTTTTTCTATGAATAGAAGATCATCTTCCGCTAATCTCCATACACTACAAAAAACTCATTCAATATGAGATCAACCAAGGGGTTACATTAGAAATCTTTAAGACATGAAAAATTTGACTCTCTCCAAAAAGTATGGATTCCATAAAGAGAATTGAAGATTATCTCCAACCAAGCTTCCAACTCTAGAAAGTTCACTCATTTAGATGACAAACCCCTGAAGATTAGGCAATAAACCATAAATCGATGGCAAAACTGTGTCCAACCCAATGACACGAACTTCATAAGAGATTGAAGACTATAACCCACAAATCTTTAAATCCTAAAAAAGATCCGCTCTAGGAAATTCATACTCTTTGGTAAAAGACAAATTTTCTATGGGTAACCTATAGGTGGATCTCAAATTGGCTGGATTTTTTCTATGAATTGAAGATCATCTTCCGCTAATCTTCATACTCTACAAAAAATACATTCAATATGAGATCAACCAAAAGGTTCAATAGAAATCCTTAAGACATGGAAATTCTAGCAAGCTCCAAGAAGTATGGATTCAATAAACAGAGTTCTTGCACTAACCTTAAAACTCTAGAAAGTTCACTCAATTAGGTAACAAATTCATGAAGATTAGCCAATAAATCATAAATCGTAAAACAAAAAAAAGGGATGAATATGGCAATACAAAAACATAAGCCAAAGAAACCAAGAGAGCCACAAAAAGAATCACAATAAATGGTACTAATTATTACAAACCTACAAATTTGCACTTAGCTGCAAGTATCTCAAGTGAGTGAATAACATGATGATATGTATACTAAAAAAATGATGATATGTGGGTTCAATCAACAACAAGTTAAAATATAAAATCAGCAAATAGAAATGGAAAGTGAAAACACAAAGTGCGAGTTTGCAAGCAAGAAAAGAACTGAAGAGTTCAAATAACACAAATTCAAATGTTAAGGACCTTTAGCCAATCATTAATGAATACTTGAAAAAGAAAAAAAAAACAGAGAAGATGCAGAAAAAATGTTGCACAATGTTTGTCAGCTGTAAAGGAACAAAGCATGAGTTCTTATGTGCCCACGCAGAGATCTTATACTTCATTGATCAAACCAGTTATGTTACTGTTAGTAAAAAGCACAAAAAATTTAGACACAATCTAAATTATCGTTGTTTTCCAATTGATGCCACAAACAACTAAACTCGAACCACTTGACTAGAACATAACCTACGACATGAAACAACAAACTCCAAGACAATAAGCCCTAACTTCCTTCAAAACAGTATCCTATCTGGTACAGCCAAAGAAGCCACAACAATTAAATAAAATTGAATAAATTTACTACCAATAGAATAAATTGAACTTACTCAAATACTGGACCATTACAGCTCGATGGAACCATGAGGATTCGGCTTTTGATCTCATGGAGATGGAATGAATACCTAACGATAATGCTGTGATAGAAAATATCTGCACAAGAGAAGTTAATTCCTAGACATGCACAAGAGAAGTTAATTCCTAATTAGCCTCATCCATGGCTATTCTCCTAGATCGCCTCGCCACCAACAATAATGCTCTGATAGAAAATATCTTTTCCTCGAAAATATGTTCATCCATATGCTTTTGAACACCTACAAGTTTTGGGAAAAAAATAGAAGAGTGCAAAAAATTAGAGGGAAAAAGAGGTAAAAATGTTAATAGATAGAAGAAATGTTGAGACAAAAAAAAAGATAAAAAGAAGAGAGGATTAAAAAACAAAACTTTTGTAGAAAAATCATAGAAGTTCTTAAAATATTTTTTAAAATGCAAGTATATTCATAAAAAAGTGGAAAGGAATTGGAAAAAAGTTCGAGGAGACAAATTCAAAAGGAAAAGATGTTAGGAGATTGACAAATAAAGAAAAATTTTCAACTCTTAAAAAAGTTAGTGCAGGCAATAAGGTGAAATAGGAAAATTTCCGGTCAATTAATTTTCCTAAACTCACCTCACATCTACAACTCAGAAAATCATTTTGAAAATAGTGTTCAAATGTTAGGGAGAAAAATACTTGAAAGTACAATAAATTTAGAAAACAAGTTTTATATTCGAAAATTACTTTTCAAAATCATACAAAAATATTTTGAATAAGACAAAAAAAATTTCAAGAGAAGAATTAAGAAATGGACAAAATTTTGAAGGAAGAAAAGAGGCTGGATGGTAAATTGAAGAGAGTGAAATAAATATTWTAGAGAAAAAATRTTTTGAGGGATGTTTTGAGGCTGGAATGTTTTGGGCACCRTCRACATCCCAACAAACTGCAAAAGAGTAAGATCATAACATTATCTTTTTATCTCAAGACGAAAAGATTTAACCGAAATGAATAACATGCTACCTTGACTGACTCAGTAGCTTCGAAGCAGAAAATAAATATATAAATATCCCTTGTATTTATCYAATACAAATAAGACTGTAACCAAACTTCAATTGGTAAAAAAATTTGGAACGAAGAAAAAWAGTGCATCTGGTCATATTAATATTGAGACATTGAAGAATATTGAAATGGAAACATAACTAATTGAAGAATATTGAAATGGACAATTTGAAAGTTGAAACATAAGAGAGAACAGAATTTTAGGATAAGAAAAAAGTGCATTTGCTCATACGAATRTAAGGGAGATGACGAACATGGAAACTAAAACCCCTTGATGATTAGGCAATAAATTTTAAACATATGGCCAAACAGGGTCCAACCCAATGACATGGACTTCATTAGGAATTGAAAACTATACCAGCGGATCTTTAAACCCTATAAAGGATCCACTCTCCAGGAAATTCATACTATTCGATTAAAGATAAATTTTCAATGGGTTAAAGATTCAACTATAGTTGGATCTCAAATTGGATGGATTTTTTCTATGAATTGAAGATCATCTTCCGCTAATCTTCATACCCTACAAAAAATCCATTCAATATGAGATCAACCTAGCGGTTACGTTAAAAATCTTGAACATATGAAAATTTGACTCTATCCAAAAATGATGGATTGCATAAAGAGAATGGAAGATTATATCCCACTAACCTTCAAACTCTAAAAAGTTGACTCAATTAGATGACAGACCTCTGAAGAATAGGCAATGAATCTTAAACCGATGGCAAAACCCTGTCCAACCAGAATTTATTAGGAATTGAAAACTATAACCCACAAATCTTTAAACCCTATAAAAGATCCGCTCTCTAGGAAATTCATACTATTTGGTTAAAGACTAATTTTCTATGGGTTAAAGATTCCTAATGTAACCTATAGGTGGATCTCAAATTAGGTGGATTTTTTCTATGAATTGAAGATCATCTTCCGCTAATCTTCACACCCTACAAAAAATACATTCAATATCATATCAACCTAAAGGTTACGCTAGAAATCTTTAAGACACGGAAATTTTGGATCGCTCCAAGAACTATGGATTCGATAAAGAGAATTGAAGATTATCCCGCACTAACCTTAAAACTCTAGAAAGTTCACACAATTAGATAACAAACTCATGAAGATTAGCCAATAAATCATAAATCGATGGCAAAATCGGGTCGAACCCAATGACATGAACTTCATAAGTGATTGAAGACTATAACCCACAAATTTTTAAACCCTATAAAAGATCCGTTCTCTAGGAAATTCATACTATTTGGTTAAAGACTAATTTTTCATGGGTTGAAGATTCCTAATATAATCTATAGTTGGATCTCAAATTGGGAGAGAATTAAAAAACAAAACTTTTGTAAAAAAAATCATAGAAGTTCTTAAAATATTTTTTAAACTGTAAATATATTCATAAAAAAAGTGGAAAGGAATTGGAAAAAAGTTTGAGGAAGCAAATTCAAAAGAAAAGATGTTAGGAGATTGACAAATAAAGAAAAAATTTAAACTTTCAAAATATTTAGGCAATAAGGTGAAATAGGAAAATTTCCGGTTAATTAATTTTCCTAAACTCACCTCACATCTACTGTTCCAAAATTCATTTTGAAAATCGCTTTCAAATCTTAGAAAGAAAAATACTTGAAAGTACAATAAATTTAGAAAACAAGTTTTATTTTCGAAAATTACTTTTCAAAATCATAAAAAAAAAAATTTAAAAAGTTGAGTAAAAGGAAAAATTCTTCAAGACAACAATCCAAGAAATGGACAAAATTTCGAAGGTAGAAAAAGAGGATGGAATGGTAAATTTAAGAGAGTGAAATAAAAATTTTGGAGAAAAAATGTTTTTAAGGATAGATAAAAATTCTTCAAGAGAAGAGTTAAAAGAAATGGACAAAATTTCAAAGGGAAAAAAGAGGCTGGAATGGTAAATTTAAGAGAGTGAAATATATATTTTGGAGAAAAAATGTTTTGAGGGATGGACAAAAATTCCAACAGCCACCATCAATATCCCAACAACTTGCAAAAGAGACAGCTCATAACATTATCTTTTTACCTCAAACGAAAAGATTTAACCGAAATGAAGTTCATGTCATGGGATAAAGATTCCTAATGTAACCTATAGGTGGATCTCAAATTGGGTGGATTTTTTCTATGAATTGAAGAACAGCTTCCGCTAATCCTCATACCCTACAAAAAATACATTCAATATGAGATCAACCAAAAGGTTCAATAGAAATCCTTATGACATGAAAATTTTGGCTAGCTCCAAGAARTATGGATTCAATAAAACTCTAGAATTGAAGATTATCCTGTACTAACCTTAAAACTCTAGAAAGTTCACTCAATTAGATAACAAACTCATGAAGATTAGCCAATAAATCATAAATTGATGGCAAAATCGGATCCAACCCAATGACACGAACTTCATTAGTGATTGAAGACTATAACCCACAAATCTTTAAACCCTATAAAAGATCAGCTCTCTAGGAAATTCATACTATCTCGTTAAAGACAAATTTTTCATGGGTTAAAGATTCCTAATGTAACCTATAGGTGGATCTCAAATTGGGTGGATTTTTTCTATGAATTGAAGATCATCTTCCGCTAATCTTCATACCCTACAAAAAATCCATTCAATATGAGATCAACCTAGGGGTTACGTTAGAAATCTTCAAGACATGGAAAATTTGACTCTCTCTAAGAAAAGCATGGATTCCATAAAGAGAATTGAAGATTATCTCCCACTTATCTTCGAACTCTAGAAAGTTCACTCATTTAGATGACAAACCCCTCAAGATTAGGAAATAAATCATAAACCGATGGCAAAACCGTGTCCAACCCAATGACACGAACTTCATAAGGAATTGAAGACTATAACGGAATTCATGGAAGAGTTGCATACTGATACATATTCGCCTAATTGGCTACTAGATATTTGCAATTTTAATAGAGCCACAAAAAATGTAAAACAATCACTAATAATAAGATAGCTAAAGATGGAAGTTTTCTGCCAAGTTTATCAACAGAATATAGATGAAATCAGAACAAGAAAAATTAAGGTAGCTCCATAAGAAAGTTATACTACAAAGCAATATCAATGTCAATGAAGATATTTGGATCACCATTCAATTCTAAAAATTGGACAACGATCATTCTGATTGGTGCCCAAAGAAATATTAAAACTATATTAAGTATCACCGTAGAGCAAGCATATTTTCCAAGTGAGTTTGTATGATGCAGTCTCAATTTTAATATTTAAAGTGTAATTTGTTCATAAAATACAAATAGCTAAGAGCTCTTTCTAAAAAAAATAATTACATAAGGAATATTTTCTAAACCAGCTCTAAGATAATCTCATGATTAATGTATGAATAAATAAGAAAGCATGGATGACAGTAATGAGCATGAAAATTAAAAAATGTCTACCACCTCCTCACAAGCAAACTAGAGAGAAGTAAACATGGAAAAAGTCTATGAAATTAGCGACAAAATTATCCTAAGTGAGCTTGTAGTTGTTGATCTGTGTAGCGGTTATATTTGAAATTTCTAAAAATAACCCTTATATTATAAGCACTAAAAAGGCAACAAACAATGTCTCGTCGAAAGCAAATTCCCATGTCTAAAAGATCAAAGGTTTCAATATAGAAATTATTAGATAAATAAACATTTATATACTTTAAAAACAATACACACAATCAAATTTATATGAAGAACAGAACTTACTTGCTGCAACGTGCCTCATTAAATGTTCACCGTTATTCTGAATCTTTTTTACCCGCGGGCCCGGTAGAAGAATCCCTTCTTGCTCCTCTAAGTTCCTCACTCAAATTCTGTTTCAAATAGAATCTCAAATTCATTTCTCGACAAACTTGTTGAAGAAAAATCAACTTTAACTACAGGTTAGAAAAATCTTACTTTTCATCTCAAGGATTATTTTATAGAACTTCTGAGACCTTCCACACTGCCTAAAGGATAGACATACAGAAGAAAATTATTTAAAAAAAAAACATACAGAAGCAAAAAATATCTCACTACCATCAACAAATATTAAAATTAAAATCCATATTTTTCCTTTCTGAAAAATACAAATCTTGGATACGCTTCTACAAATTAGTACTTCAAATAATAGTTAATCTTATGTACATGTGTTCAATCGGTTTTCTTCTTTCTGCTTTTTTGTTTTTAGTTGTGCTCAACCGGTTACTCGTTCATGCTATTGTGTGTTTTTCTAATTCAAGCAAAGTTGAAAACTGACCTTTAGCGACACTTCCAAATAATGATAATGTCAGCAACAAAAAGACCCATATTGTGCCGAAACATACGCCAACTCTGTTCCCAATTTCTTTGGTAAGAAACTTCAATGAGTATATGGAAGGAAAATAAACTTGCACCTTGTTGGAGGAAAACCAATCATCCTACACAACAAACAATGAAGTTAAAAGAAGAAACAATCTTCCCAATGGAAGTAAATAACAAAAACAGTGTACAATAAAGCAAGCCGTAAAAGAATCAAACTATAATTTTTTTCAAAGAAACAAAAAAGGAAAAAGAAACTAGGAGACGGAGTTGAAGAAGGAGTCGGGGAAACACAACAGAGAAGTATACAAACTCTAGAGGGTTAGGGTTTCTCTCAAATGTGAGTTTAAAAAAAAAAGTTCATCTACAATTATGGTCTGGATTCACGACCGAATCAATTAAAATTCAAGGAATATGCAAAACCACTATCGAGTATATTCAGTACCAGTTTGTGCAAACAGAACAAAAAAAATACGGAAAACCTTGGGGAAGATGCAACATTCGAAAGCCCAGATAATACAAGAAGGGAAGGAGATTGGCATAGAACCCCATGAAGTAGAAGGTTCGTGCAGTGGGTTAAGATTAGCACTACTGCACATGATTTCAATTACTAAAAAATTGAACATACCTGCACTGCAAACTTGAGAATCTAGGGATTGAGAAACCTCCAAATCAGAAGCCAAGAGATTACAAACCCTCCAAATCTAGGCTCATGCAATTAGAACCTAAGAAACCAAGAACAAAGTTGCAGTACGATTTTCTGTACTTTCAAACCGGTAATAGATTGATAATGAGAGAGATCAGAAAAAAATAACAAACAAACCCTAACACATTGTTGAGAAGTATATGGATGAGAGTGGAAATGTTTTGTCAAATACGGGGGACATGTGTATGATAGACAAAATACCAACGGAAAATTTTAGATCGAGCAAATAGACTTTAACATTCAGGAATAACAAGAAGACAATTCCAACACCGGTCATGAAAATTTTCATGGAATTTGATATGATCTTAACCTGAAAAAGAACATTCAAGAATATGGGCGCGAAGATTTGCATATGAATTGGAAAGAAAATGACGGTTAGTGAGTAGATAGATAATTACCAGTACAATACACTGCAGCATGAGAAACTAAAACTCTCTCGAATGAGATCTTTCAGTGCGCGTAAATTCACATCACGGATCGGACATGTGTAAGATGGACAAAACCAACGGAATCGAAAACCTAGGCATGGGAACTTTTGTGGCGCCTTTCCCTCGGTTGTCGAACCCTAAAATCCCTCCCACCACCACAATTTGAATCGGAAGCCATAGACAAAGGACGGAGAAACAACGGCTGCCGTCGAGGGGATGAAGAAGAAGGAAGAGATGATCGAAGCGGTGGAACTGGATTTGGTTGAGGAGAAGAAGAATAAGAAGGCGGGAAATGTTTGAGGAGTCGTTTCTTAATCCAACCAGAAGCGACTCCGTACTTATAGCCGTTGGAGCATGCGTGCAGAAGAAGCTAACTCAAAATAAACTTATACATATAAATTGCTTTAATTGATCTTAATTTTAATTACTTTTTTTTATCAACCTTAATTTAAATTACTTAAAAATTCAAAAAAATAACCATTAAATAACTTGCGGAACTTCTTTATTAATAAAATTATCAAATCTCTTGAATTATAAAATAATACAAAGTAGAAAAATATTGTTTACTTTATATTTTAAATTTGTTTAGTAAAAACTGTTTTTGTTTAACTCCATTTCTCCTCTAATTGATATTCTCTGCAATTTTTCTACCACTTTTTTATTATAATATTTTTTTCACCAATCTTTCCATAATAGTTAATAAATAAAATATGAATAATTTATAGAAACAAAATTTTGATTTTTTTATTCAAAAACTAAAATTTGATGACTAAGATCTCTAATAAAAATACTACCACTTCTATTTTAAATGTACTAAACAATTTACAATTAATTTTTTTAACCAAAAAATCCGGGCATCTTTACATCGTATTATCTTTATATAATATAAATTATACATAAAATATTTTAGACGTGATATTACTGTTTAAGTTGAAATTGTAACATAAATTACATTACATAACAATTTTTTGAATTGAAAAAAAAAATCTTATATTTATATACAGTAATAAAATTTTAACTTGAAACTAATTTAAATTTTAAATTATAATAAATTTATATTAGAAATTGTGATATATACAAGAATATATTTAAATCAAATAATTCAAAAAATTAATATAATTTAATTTAAAAAAAAACTTTTAGTCCATGTACCTTCACTAAAGTAACAATTTAATCTCTTAACTTTAGTTTGTAACCATTTAGTCGTTGTACTGTTAAATTGGTAATAATTTAGTCATTGAACTTTAATATGTAACAATTTAATCATTGTAATTTAAAGTGGGTAACGATTTAGTCCTTATTGTGAAATTTTTTTGTTAAGTTTCTTATATGTATGGATTGATAAAACTAAAGAGTAACCAAATATGTTTATGAATTATAAATATTAAATTGTTATATGATAAAATTTGACATTTAATTTTAATAAAAATTTATTAACGATAGGGACTAAATTGTTACAAATTTTAAACTACAAGGACTAAATCGTTACAAGTTAAAATTCATGGACTACATCGTTACTTTAGGAAAAATACAAGGACTAAATCGTTACAAACTATTAACGAACTAAATTGTTATTTTAGTGAAGTTAAAATTCAAGGATTACACATCGTTATTTTAGGGAAAATACATGGACTAAATCGTTACAAACTGAAGTTTATGGTCCAAATTGTTACTTTGGGGAAAATACAATGACAATTTATTAAAAACTATATCTCTCACTCTTCTGTCCTACCTATAATATTTTATTTCAAACTAACTTTTTCTAATCATAGTTAACAATACTTATGTTATTTAAAATCTAATTATTAATTTCTTTAAATACTATGTTTCATACTCTAGATATTAATTATGAAAAGATTACAAAAGGTGCGTACCTGCCAAAGAATATAGAGATTAGAACCCGCCAATTCAAGAGCTAAGAGATTGCCAACCCTCCAAACCGAGACCGAGGCAACGATTAGAACCTGCGAAATGAAACCAAGAAGAAAATTAGTTTATTAAAACAAAAAGAGAGAGAAAACGAACTGGTAAGTCTAAAAAATTCAGGGCAATTCGACCGATAAACCTATAAAAGTCTTATCATTAGTATCTTCTATGGGATGGTGGGGTCCGTTGCCTTCTAAAATCAACAAGCTCAGAACTTCAAAGCCTCAAGAGCCTTGTTTTCGACAAGAGTTTTCTCCTCTGGTGAAACTCTTGTGCTCATCATACTGAGAAAAAACTTCTTCAGATCTAAAATTCCTTCAAGAATCATGGAACTCTAAGAAGCTTCAGCTACTAGTTATTTCATGTGCCAATCCATTATTCTCTTTTCTCCCTACCTGCGATCCAGTACCTCAACCTATGTAATAACCAATTAAGTGGGATACTCTTGTTCACAACACAACTTGCAACAAAAACCTCAAATGAAGAGAAGAAGAATACTTGAAGATAACAAATATGAGAAATCTGCAATGTATAAACTCGACTCTCCATTGCCAACAGTAGAAACCAACACCGTTCTCTTTTTAGTTTTCTTACACCTGATCAAATTATAATTTTCTTCTTGCTAATTCGATTCTGCACAAGAAGAAAATTATTTCCATTTAGGAACTGGTTCAAGCAGAGGTGACGAACTGGTTCAAGCATTTGACGCTGCAAAGATCTCAAGGACAAGTTATTTCGATTAAAGGTTTTCTGTTAAATTCCTAAAGATATATAAAGGGTAGTTGACTGATGGTTCAGTGGTCCCCGATCAAATGCTTCAAACTAAAGTTTTTGTCTTTGGTTTGGATTCAAACAAAAGAAAYTAAAAATCGAGGATTCTACAATACCCAAGAAGAAATAGCAATCTAAAATAGACTGAGAAGAGACCAAATTCATTCCACAAGAAACCGAGATTAGGCGGCAAACACGAAGATGAAGTAGAAGGTTCGGAAAGCGGGTTAATCGAGTGAGAGAAGGTGAGATTGAGGGAAGAAGAGTGAGAGAATGGAGAAACCGATAGCCTTCATTACTGTAAAACAAATTAAATTGAGAAGGTGCAAACCTGGATGGTTGACTCTGCAAAACAAAGAAAATTATTCATCCTACACAAAAATCATCTTAGGGTTAGGGTTCCTCAATTGTGAATTTTGAAAGAAAAAAAAATTATGGGCAATTTCCTGTTATATCTTATTACTGTTTGGAAAATTTGATACAGAGGAACTAGAGCGTCATTCAAGCTTTCAATCTGAATATATCTCATTTTACACATGAGTCTTAGCTTGCTTATCATCCTAGAATAAGGATTATTTTCTCAAGTGATGAAGTTAAGTAAGGAAATTCATGCTTTATAGGCAACAATATCATTAAAAGGCCGGTGGCGGCATCATTATATTATATCAAGATCAGTGAAGACATACAAAAGAAGCATGAATAGATTACCCATTCGGCAAGTGAGGAAATTCATGCTTTATATGAATTATGATAATTGTGGTTTTCCTAGTCCACTACAAAAGCAGCAGCTGCAATAAAAGTTTTTAACATTGAAATCAGGCAACAATATCAAAAGGCTGGTGGTAGCATCAAATTATATCCATATCAGAGAAAACATACAAAAGAAGCACGAATAGATTACCCATTCGGCAAGGCTCTCTTCTCCCATTGGTTGGGATGCATCCACAGTCATGCGACCAGTAATACCTCAATATATTTCAGAAACAAAAAGACAAAAGACTGTAAAGTAATTAAAATACCAAATAAAAAGTATCATTCCCATCAAATCTATCATTATAAGCTGTGAAATTAAAAGGTTTGAGATTTAATACCTCAAGATTTGTTCCTTTCTCAATCAAAAGTATCATTCCCATCAAATCTATCATGGCCTGAAAATCAACCAGTCGATTAACTCTTTCAAATCAAATGTGACCATGGAATCCATTATGAGCTGTGAAATTGATTTACTAAAAAAACCGCCTGACAAATCAAATGTAAACCAAAACAACAGAAAGAGTTCTTTAGTGGAAGTGATCAAAATCCAAACCAATAAAAAACATTTAGAAACTGAAATTTATAGGTCAACCTAATCAAACAACTTGCACCTGTCTAAGTAAATGTGTAATCTAGAGTCTTGAAAGTATAAAGCAGAGGGAGAGAGTTGTGAGGTTTATTAATCAAAGACTATATAGAGAAAATGAAATTCCTATTTTTGCTCCACAAACTGCCATGCAGTTAGAACATATAAAGAATAAAGTTCCTTTCACTAAAGATCCAACCCAGTTACTTGACTTCCCATTCTTCTATAACTAAACTAACAAGTGACCACTTCCTCCAAGTTCTAAAATAAAGGTTACCCCATTTCAAAAGAAAAAAAAGTTTGATGTTCTTATCTCCAGCAATATTTAACTACCATCATATCTAATTGAAATAATCTTTGCATCGGGATAGAGCCGCAAAAAATGTTAAACTACCATAAACAGTAGACATTAATATAATCACTAATAATAAGAGATAGCTAAAGATGGAAGCTTTCTACCAAGTTTATCAATAGAATAGAGATGAAATTAATGTAGCTTCTGAAGAAAATTATACTACAAAACAATATCAATATCAATGATGTCTTATAAACAGTATTTCAATCACCATTCAATTTAAAAAATTCGACATGGATCATTCTGATTGGTGCCCAAAAGATATTCAAACTATATTATGTATTACCATAGAGCAAGCATATTTTTTAAGAGCAAGCATATTTCTATAACTGATATAGAGTTGTTAAAAAATACAAATGGATGTATTCACGAAAAAAATTCATTTAAAGCATACAAAATATAGTGAAAAGCAATTTCTCAAAAAAAAAAAAAAATCTATATATATATAGTGAAAAGCACAACAACGAAACATCCCACGTCCTTATCAGTTCTCCAGATTTTGTGCAAAAACCTAAGGGGAGTGTGTACTTTACATCAAGGGACAAATTCGTACCCAAAAATCTTAGACAAAGAAGAGACATGTTTCGAACATAGGAGGAAACAGTACAAAAAGATAAACCTCTGTCGTAGACACTTTCTTGACAACTTTTCACAATCTTTGTGCTACAGATTGAAAAAGCACACATTCTATAAAATTTTCAGAAACCTGTAGTGAGAGTTTTTTGATTTATGGAGCAAAAGAGCATACTCCTAAAATGGTGTAAACAATCAACAAAAAGAAAAAAGCTACAAAAACAATCTAAAATTAAATGTTTAAAAACACCATAAAGATGCTCCTTTCCAACCAACCACATATGTATTCTGCGAATCCCCTGCACTTTAAATACTGTAGAGTACAAAGTCACGAAATTTCAGCTTAAGTTACACATTCATTTCAATATTAAAACAGCAAAAACAAACTTCTACAAATAATTTCATAAACATATTTCAATTGGTTGCAAACTTTTATGAGGAGGACCTGATGAATAATATAGAACATGAATTAAAAATGCCATGCTACCTTATCCCAAGAAAACAGAAAAAAAGAAATAAAACATCAAACGAGTTAAATATCTATTGTACGATATTGACTTGTAGTCTACCTCTACCCACATGATAAGATTAAGGGAATGACTCTGAAACCATTAGTTAGGATCAAGGAACCACCCTCCACATCTCCATTGTACGATATTGTTCACTTTGGACATAAGCCCTCATGGTTCAACTTCTGGTATCACCCAAAAGACCTAATTCATATAGAGATGTTGTCACTAACTTATATATCAAAGATCATCCCTTTATCTAGCCAATGTTGAACTTTGGTCGCTTCCCAACACGAGAAAGTAAGGTTATGTTCTCTGACATCCATTTTGAAAATGACACTTTGACTTTTGGAAAAAATGACAAAAAGATCCTAAAGAATTGCTTTCCAGTGTAAAAATTCTTTTAGGAGCATCCCTCTAAGTCTTCAAAAAATTCGAAAGGTGGTGCATTGATGCAAAACCTATTGGGTGGTTAGGCAACTCTGTCACGATCCACGTGACAAGATTAAGGAAATGACTCTGATACTACTTGTTAGGGACAAGGAACCACCCTCCACATCTCCGATACGATATTGTCCACTTCGGGCATAAGCCCTCATGGTTTAGCTTTTGGTATCACCCAAAAAACCTCATTCATATAGAGATGTTGTCCCTAACTTATATATCAAAGATCTTTCCTTTACCTAGCCAATGTTGGACTTCAGTCGCATTCCCAACAGGGGAAAATAAGGTTATATCTCCTATATCCAATTTGAAGATGACATTATGATACTTGGAAAAAAAATGACAAAAAGAACCAAAAGAATTGCTTTCCAGTGTAAAAATTCATTTGGGAGCGGATCATTCCTCTAAGTCTTCAAAAAATTCGAAAGGTGGTGCACTGATGCAAAACCTATTGGGTGGTTAGGCAACTCTATCCACGTGACAAGATTAAGGAAATGACTCTGATACTATTGGTTAGGGACAAGGAACCACCCTCCACATCTCCGATACGATATTGTCCACTTCGAGCATAAGCCCTCATGGTTTAGCTTTTGGTATCACCCAAAAAGCCTCATTCATATAGAGATATTGTCCCTACCTTATATATCAAAGATCTTTCCTTTACCTAGCCAATGTTGGACTTTGGTCGCATTCCCAACAGGGGAAACTAAGGTTATATCTCCTATATCCAATTTGAAGATGACATTATGATAATTGGAAAAAAAATGACAAAAAGAACCAAAAGAATTGCTTTTTAGTGTTAAAATTCGTTTGGGAGCATTCCACTAGGTCTTCAAAAAATTCGAGAGGTGGTGGATTGATTCAAAGCCTATTGGGTGGTTAGGCAATTGAGCATTCTATCCAAATGACAAGATTAAGAGAAAGACTTTGATACTAGTTGTTAGGGACAAGGAACCACCCTTCATATCTCCATTGATACGATATTATCTACTTTGGGCATAAGCCCTCATGGTTTCGCTTTTGGTATCACCCAAAAGACCTCATACATATAGAGATGTTGTCGCTACCTTAAATATCAAAGATCTTTCCTTTATCTAGCCAATGTTGGACTTTGGTTGCGTTCCCAACAGGGGAAAATAAGGTTATGATCTCTTTTATCTAATTTAAAGATGACACTATGATAGTTGGAAAAAATGACAAAAAGAACCAAAAGAATTGCTTTTCAGTGTTAAAATTATTTTGGGAGCATCCCTATAGGTCTATAAAAAATTCGAGAGATGGTGTATTGATGCAAAACTTATTGGGTGATTAGGCACTCGAGCACTCTACCCACATGACAAGATTAAGGGAATGACTCTGATACTATTTGTTAGGGACAAGGAACCACCCTCCACATCTCTGATACGATATTGTCCCTAACTTATATATCCAAGATCTTCCCTTTATCTAAGTCGACTTTGGTTGTGTTTCCAACAGGGAAATTAAGGTTATAATCTCTTCTATTCAATTTGCAGATGACACTTTGATTCTAGGGAAAAATGACAAAGAGAACCTAAAGAAATTCTTTTCAGTGTTTAAATTTTTTTGGGAACATCCCTCTCTGTCTTCAAAATTTTGAGAATTGGTATTTTAATACTAAACCTATAGGGTAGTTAGGCACCTGAGCATTCTTCCCACATGAGAAGGTTAAGGGCATGATTCTAATACCATTTGTTAGGGACAAGGGTCTTCCTCCACATCCCCGTTGATACTATATTTTCCACTTTGGGCATAAGACCTAATGGTTTTGCTTTTGGTATCATCCAAAAGGCATCATTCATATAGAGAGGTTGTCTCTAACTTATATGTCTAATATCTTCCCTTTATCTAGCCAATGTTGGACTTTGGTCACGTCTCCAACGCGAAAAATAATATTATGATCTCTTATATCAACTCTTAATAATAGTTAAAATTGATTAGGTTGTCTTATACAATTCTTCAATGCCCGCTTAAGGTACTTTGCATCTAAATGAAACCAAAAACAGTCCTAAAAATTGAAGCAACTACCCTAGCCCATCTCATTTATATATTCTATACCATGAAGGAATACATAATAATCTCATAAAACAAAAATAATTATAACCTGAGGCATTTTATCAAAGATCCAATGCATAGATCACCCCACCGCTTAGCAAGCTGATCTGATATATGGCACTATATTTGGCTTAATTAAAATCAAAATATTCACCTACTCAAAAAACTTTTTATTACTAGTAACCAAACCAATAAGACACCAAGTTACTACAAGGCAAAAAACAAAATATGTTCTTAAATTAAAATAACAAATTATGTTTGGTATACCATTATGGAATCAATGTGACAATAATTGTTTTATCGTGTTTATAAATAGGTTTGAAAGTAATTTCATAGTTATTGAATAATAATAAAGTTCAAAAAGAATATCTAATTTGTTTGTTATGAAATATAATCGTAAAAAATTGAAAATATGGAAATTATTAACTAAATAAACATTTATATACATTAAAAACTATACAAAAAATCAAATTTTGTGAAGAACAGAATTTGCTTGTTGCAACATACCTCAAGTGAAGCTAGGGTAGGAGAATCCATACTTATTCCTCTATGTTTCTCAATCAAATACTGTATGTAGTAAAAGCCCTCTCTCGAAGCTTGTAATCTCGCCATCTCACTCATCCATGGCCCCCACAAGTCTTGTAAATCAACAACTTCAGGCCATCGGTTACATTTCCAGAGCCAAAATACTAGCACCATAAATAAACAATGTCACTAATAAATAACAATATAGATTACCAATCTCCATTTCACAAAAGCACAGAGGGGAAGAAGATGGGGAAAACCTTAGAGAAGAACGCAAGGTTCAGGCAGTGAGTTAAGATTAGCTCAAGGGCACACATGATATCAATTACTTGGAAAAATCCTCTGGAAAAACTCACAGAAAATATTACAAAAACTGCATGTACCTGCAAAATTGAGAATCTAGGGACTGAGAAAGTTACAATGTCATTGAAAACAAAATCTCTCCTTCAAAAACATCAAAATCAGCCCCTGTAAGTCCATCCCTTCCCAGCAGACTCTGTCCCAAAAGCTTCTCTATTGATTCCTTCTTCACTTTTCTCACCAATCTTTAAAGTAATCTAGGGTTTCAATAACTTGTGGGTGCTGTCCTCTCAGAAATAACATACGTAGAAAACTCATTACAATCATGCAAAATTATATATCACAATTTCAAATTTTACCTTCAGCGAGGAGAATCAGGAGATGCAAAAGAGGATATCAAGTGAGGCTATGGATCCTTATTAATTTTTGAAAGAAATTCATCCGAACCTTGCTTCTCCAGCATGACAGTCTCTGATGTCACACAACCAACTACAAGGCAAAAAAAACTTTTTCAGACCAAACCTAGGCCTATTACACTCACTTGATCGCAAAGGAAAGGATGAGAAGTACAAGGCAGAAAAAAGAGCAATAATTCATCGAACCATATTAAATTACAATATCGCAACTGGAATTAGTGAGTTCCCCAATTTAGGTTTTCCAAATAATTTGATAAGTGGTTCATCACAACTTCTCAATTACTTCCCCACTATTCAAAACGTTTTAGAAGTTCCTTTGCTGTTGTTATCCAAAAATACATAGAGTACAAGTAAATTATATCAACGAAAACAGTACACAAAGGGGGACAAAAAAACATACAAAAACGAAAATAGTTCAAAGTTAATTTTAAAATTTCGTATAACCAACAAACCCAATTTGATCCTTCAAAAAATTTTCACAGTAGAGATTGTTGCTGTTAAGATACCTGCATGCTAAGCCATCCTACAGTAAATTCCTAGAACCAGCCGAAACCTAGATAATGTACGAAGAAAGGGAAAAGAAATGAAAATTCAATAAACAGAGAACTTCTAAAAGAATGACTCATTTTTAAGCATGCTCCTTTCTAAGGATTACTTAAATTAGGGAAGAAATTAAAATCAACGCAAATAGTAATCAAAAGCAATACCACGAGACGCAACTTTGGCAACAACAGGCATTCAAATCTAAAAGTACCTCAACCTTATCCGGCTTCGTGGCTCTGGCTAGCTATGAAATCATTTAGACATCTCCTAATTTCCGAATTCCAAATCGAGAGCGAAAAAATAAAAGAAACAGAAAGCGACAGTTACGAAAATCAAAATTTCTTCAGTACGACCAGCATAGTACTCCCCAAAAATTTAGGGTTCCGAAGTACCCAAAAGCCTTAAAAAGATGGATAAGAACAAACTTATGCCGATCAATGGGAGTCGGTGATTTTACAAGAAACTTGGAATGACGATCGCAAAATTGAAAGAGCGAGATTGATAATGGGGTGAAACAGAGCGGTGGTGGTACCCAGAATGCGATTAGAGCCTGCGAAACCAAGAAGAAAGTTACAGTACGATTTTCTGTACTTTCAAACCGGCAATACACTGATAACGAGCGAGATTGAGTGAGAGAGTGGAGAGAACCCTACGAACCTGGATAGTTGACTTCATGAACTGAAGATTCGCCAATGAGAGGGAGAGCAACGAACATTTAAGTAAACCGCCAACCCGTACATCTTATAGCCGTTAGCGTGCGTGAAGAATAAGCAAACTCAAAATAAAATTATAATATCATTTGTTTTAATTACCTTTAATTTAAATTACTTTATTTTCCCACCTACAAAAAAGAAAAGTTAAATTACATTTTTCATTTAATTCGAATGCATTTTTATGGTGGATATTTAGACTTCGATTATTAGTTGAGACGAGCCTGATACAGAATGAACTTTGCTTATTATCAATTGAGGTGGACTTGATAGAGGATGTGCTTTGTTTATTATCTTGCACTGCGTTTCAAACTCTAATGTTTTGTATAACGAAATAATGTTGACTCAATTTAATTTAATTTTTATATCACGAAATTCTCAAGAACCTAGAACCAGAAGAAGAATACCAAAAATCGTACCGTTACAGAAGTTTTCGTGAAGAGGAAGCAAAAGCAACTAAATTACTAAAACAAAAAATTTCTTTTAATAAATAACAACAAAAAGGACTGGGCCTAATACACAGTATATTTCATGGGCTTTTGTTTAAAGCCCGATTTAACTGATGTCATTACTAAGTTTTCGTGCAGAGTAAGCAAAAGTATATATCACTCAAATAAAATGCTTATTTTTAAAAACTAAATAAAATACTTATTTGATAATAATAATATAATAACGAAGGAGACGGACTCAAGAATACCAATTACTGCTAGACAAAATAAAATCGGACAACAGCATAAATGGCCCAAATAAATTAAGCATTACAGGAAACATTTTTGTCTATGTGTATCAGGTAAATTGTCAAGTTTATTAATTTTACTATTTTGTAAGCCTTTTGCTGATGAATTATTTTTTGTTTTGTTTTGAATACTATACAAATTACAATACAACATTTTCTTTGTGTTTGCTGATTCTAATTTCTTAACTTGCTGTTGATTGAAACCCACATATCATCATGTTATTCTCTCAGTTTAGATACTTACAGCATAGATTAGTGCAGATCTTTTAGATTTTGAATAATTTCTTCAAGCACGACATCGAAATCTCATGCGGTGATTCAGATCAGTTGGCTCATTCATCAATGAGCACAAGAGTATTGATACAAGAGTGCTAAAGAGAATGGATAGTCGTCATGCGTTGGATATGACAAATGTTAGTCCAAATTCTAGATTTCGTGGAATTCATTGTTCTATCTCCATAATTGGTTAGGTGTATTAGGTAATGGTCCCAGTTCAGTTTAATTATACAATTTTGTAGGCCACTAACTGTTGTTGTTGTTGTGTTTTTTTTTCTTTGCTGCAAAAGTGATTAACATATTGAATTCATAAATCAATTACTATATATCGTAGTTTCATTTCTGTGGGCTCTGTTGCAAACTTTTTGTGGTTTTGTTTTGGGTAGACTATAAAACTCTTCTTTATTCAGAATCATGTCTATGTTTATTGGCTCCATCCCTCTGGGAGGGAAATGCTTCTGCAAGGTGTACTCTAATTTGGGGACGATTTGGGTTTTACAGAAGAAAGTTTCAGATTTAGAGAAATTAGAACGACCCCACCTCTTATAATTCTTTATGTCTTGTTTTACACGTGAAATACGCAGTGAATATCTTCAAATTGTGAACACTTTCTATGAGCTTTCTTCTCACAGTCTGAGGATTTCAGGTTCTTGAACGAATACATTTTTATCAAATGGAAGCAGTGAGGCTGGAGGTGGTGAAGATGGAAGCAGTGGGGGTGGATAAGATTCATCTCCTGCTTGTTAAATGGTAACTAACACCATTACTGCTGCCACCAAAATTCTCCCATTTATATTATCCTACTAAATTTGCTTCTAAAAATGATGGGTTTGAACCTTTCGTATTGAGACGGGGGATTGTTTTCAGATCTATTCAAAGCCAAAATGATAGTATAGTTGATCACTTCAACACAAATATGTTATGCACATTAATCACTTCAACACAAATATGTATGTTATCATTAAACTTTTTGAACCCAGAATCTGGGAACTGTTTGAACCCAGAATTTACTTATAAATGAAGGGGAACAAATCTGAAAAAGTGTTGCATTAATTATCTAACTTGCAAAATGAACGTGGAAAACTCCTCCTCAAAATCTTTTTGAACTTCAGTATGAATGAATGAATCTTACATAGTTGAATATGGGACGGAATCAAAATCCAATTTACAAAATCAAAGAATGAACAATAAATCCATAATTTTAGCAGCAATAGGGACACATAATGAGTCCATTCTCATTACATTCTGCTCGTGCAGCCCCAACACCCCTCTGCTCCGCCAATGTACCTTCCTCTGATGAAGAGCTTCGGAGGTAATGCCTTTGAATCCAAAACTCTCCATAGCTCTTAGAATTTCACTCTGAAAGTTTCTAATAGAAATTTTATGCTGTTACAATCCTCAAAAGTTTTCCTGGTTCCTTTGAGAGTTGTTGTGTAGAGAATTACTGAATCTAATCACCTGCAATTTTCTTGGAAGCCAAACAGAGGATTCTCTTCTTCTTTTTCTTCTTCCTTCTCCTCTTTCTCTTGAATTTTGGTTCTGCTTCTTATCTCTGCTTCTCTTGAATTTTCTTCATCCGACGACTGGATTTTTCGTTCTCTTCGGCGAATCGATCTTCTCGTTCGTGTTCTTGAGATTAGCTTTGAGATTTTTGTTTATGGAGAAGAAATTCGAGTACCCATCTGGAGAAAAGGCCTCGAGAATCCGATTTTGTTTGATGGATTTGAGTACCCATCTTAGAGAGAATCAAATTTTCCATGTCTTGAACACTTCTAACTTAACCCGTAGGTTGATCTCATATTGAATGGATTTTTTGTAGGGTATGAAGATTAGCGGAAGATGATCTTCAATTCATAGAAAAAATCCACCCAATTTGAGATCCACCTATAGGCTTTGAGATCCACCTATAGGCTAAGAAGCACGGACACGGATACGGGACACGAACACGATAGGACACGGCGATACGTCAATTCCTAAAAAATTAGGACACGGACACGTTGGGGATACGTTTATTTTTTTAATATTTTTAGGATATATGTAAATTTAACACAAAAAATGCTAAATACAATGAAATGCATAAACATGAATTCAATTACATCTTTCAACAAAAGTTAAAAAACAAAGTTTCAAAAGACAATATAGTGACAAAA